TTATTATTATTATTATTATTATTAAATCTTTAGTGCATGTAATTCAAATATAAGTACATTAGTCCAGCGGATAAGCACATAAAAATGGGGACATTGTGCACTTTTGGGTAGAATTATGAAACTTTGCCCACGCATACTACATGATGATGAGGTCCTGAAGATATTCTGATATAGTGCCAATTGAACAGCACCACCTGGTGTAAAATCAGAAAATCTTCAGGACCTCATGTAGTATGCGTGTGCAAAGTTTCACAATTCTACCCAAAAGTGCACAATCCATGTGCTTATCCGCTGGATTACATGTACTGAGCAGTCTTTTTCATGGAGAACAAATCTGATAAGTGCAATAGTGTTGAGAAGTTAAAATGATAAAATTTCTGAGTGATACAGTACAATCCAACGCGTTCCTTCGTGACTAATGAACTTCCGCAGCGAATTCTACAACGAGCATAGACGATTAATGGATGAGCGCCAGCGTGTGCCGTGGACAGACGTTCATTATCTAATAGCAATCACTGTCAAATGCCATTTGCTGTTGGCAGGCATTCAGTGTCAAATACGTTTCATTGTTGACAAGTGTTTGTTGTCAAAAATGATCAATTGTTGAAAAGTATTCATTGTCAAACATGTTCTATTGTGACAGGTGTTCATTGTTGTTTTTTGTTGTTGTCTGTTGTCGATTATTGTAGAGATTTGGGTTTTAATTTCTGATGCCGGGCTTGAAAACATCTCCGTGTGAGCAATGCCCAAGTAAAGGAAGAAGCAGTAGTAGAAGAAAAAGAAGAAATAGGTAAGGAAAAGGTAGAAGAAAAACGATGAACCAAAGATTAAGAAATAAGATAAAGAAAAAAGAAACAAAGAAAAAGAAGAGAAGAAGAAGAAAAAAAAGAGAAGAAGAAAAGGAAAAGAAGAAGCAGAGTAGGATAAGGAGGAAATAAGCCGCACGATTCTTACTGGGTTAATGGCGGAGTCCGTATTAATCTGCAGGGTGTAGATGTCGTCGCGTGAGTACTGGAACAGCCCGTAGTATGGGTTGAGCATCTCATGCGACAGCAGATACAGCCACTCCCTGTCAACAACAAACACGACAAGCTGTGAGACATCACGCGCGCTGTGTTACAAATAGAGTTCGAAGACGGCGAGCCGTGATACGTCACGCGCTCACGGTGTTAACCAGAGTTCGGTCATCGGTTCCAATCGATGTTCCATGACCTGGATTATCACTTATCATTAGATACTGCTAGGAACATGACAGAGCTCTACAGTAATTCGTAAGTAAGGGAAACTGGGTTGCTATATCTTCTACACATTATTTGTTGGCGTTACTCCCGGGAGAAAAGGGGCGGGGGTGAACAAATAGTCCGCTGTCTCGACATGCACATTTTATCTCTCGGAGACAAGAACCGGCAATAAATAAACTACTTTCCGCTTACATCACTGACATAACTAATGCAATAGATGTTACATAGATTAATAACCGCTCTGTATCACTCGCACATCTCACTGTATCTGCTCTCACACCACCTGCACACGCACGAGCGGTTTTTAACCAAGTAGACAATCTCGTGCGTGTGATAAGCGGGATGATCCCAATATTGACTTAACCTGAATCTATTTATGACCATCTCACAGAGTTTCGGGGAGTATTAGCTACAGTTCATGGCGACTCTACAGTAGATGTCGACCACGGACACAATGATCCAGTGCCTCTCGCGACGCGGCATGTCTTCGAACGGTTGTAAACGGTCACCTCTGTCCGACCTGCCGGCCGAACAACACGAATGCGGGTTAGGCACACGTACCTGGCGATTCCGCCATAGTCTAGCCCTTCTTCCGATTTGAACTTGATCATGAGTCGCTTGCGCAGGTCCTTCGGACGCATCTTCATGATCTGCCTGTACGATTCCTACAAACGGCAACCACGCACGAAAGCCGTCAGCACGTTCACACCCTACCGCACGCGGGCGTGTGACCGCAGCACCCACACAGAGGTCGCGCAATAGGTCAAGTGCAGCTATAAAAGTTTAGGGGTAATCGGAGTAAGTGAGAAGCTTTCCTCAGCTTTTAAGCGGCGAGATGGGTACGCTGGAAAATTCACGCGAGCCACGAGGGGGATCACTCACGCGTGGTCAAGAAATTTATTGATTCCGAGAAGATGTCTAGTAAGCCACAGGAAATGCAACTGCGTGAACTTGTACAGTGGACAAATTTCCCCCTCTATTTCAGATAGTAGCTAGTTACACAATTTACAGAGGGTATATACGAACGAGTGATACTGCTTCAAGGTATGTATAGAATTGATTACTATTATCAAGGAAAATATTATATCGGGATAACCTTTTTTAAGTACCAGGTCGAGAAATTAGATGTTGCTCTAGAAAAAAAATCACACATTTTTGATTCAAATTGATCTCTTTCAAATTTTTTTTCTGCAACCGGATAACCTATCCGAAAAACAAAAATTTCACACCTCAAAGATTTCCTCGCGCGAGACCTCTATCCTGCAGTGGCCGGTTTGTGGCTGCAAACTCTGCAATTCTGCCCTTAGATTCTTCAGCTTCTGTACCAAGTCTCGCTTGTACTTGGGAACAGGCGAGTCATTCTCCTTGTCCTTATCCTTGCTGCTAGAAGAAAGCGGGATGTCATATATCGTTCGATCGTGATCGATACCTTATGCACTCCACAGTTTCATGGTACACATGGGAGTACGGTTTGAATAAACCTCGCCAGTTTCTAGATTTTCTAGTTTCTCGTTTTTAGATATCTCGGCTAGGACCAAGCTGAATCTACATACGATTCAGCTATTGGAAAAAATTAAAATTGTAGTTGGGAGATTATGGGTATCCATCCGCAAGTAAATGTTGATTGAAGTGTTTCTAAAGCTTTACTCTACCTAATGTATCACAAAATGCCTTTCATCATAATAAGACCATGATACACATCAAAATTATTATTATGAGGGAAATTTGGATGGCTATATACATGCACATTGTGTTTTTTTTTAAATAACATAAAAAGATGTGAAGAGATTGCTTAGAAAAAAAGAAGAAGATTAACGTTTATATTTTTTACTCTATACCATGTGAACGACATTACTCAATACTAGACAGAGGGCACTCACGGAGAGTGCATACCTCCGCGAGCGTGTAACATGTATGTGTATAACAGCTGGCTCGCTGCTGGCTGCTGCTGACTGGACGCCCTAAGGCGAGCTGCTGCTAAATCGATCGCGCCAACGCTACACACACACACGAACACACACACGAGACCGATTACATGACCTCCGTTGCGCGAAGGTAATTATGCACTTTGCCTGCCTGGCACTAGTTTGTGCATTATTACGTGGCTATCAGTGCAAGAAATGTGAAAACTCACTTGCGTATGATGTGAATATTTGAACTCAGTCGAGGGTCGGTGAACTGCGTTGTTCGGTTGTTGTGGTCGACGTAATACTTGCGACCGTTTGCTGTGTATCTGACTTCCCATCCCGGTGGCATCGGGCCAAGGTCATTCTCACTGATAGAACCAACGTCCCTGCAATAGCAGATACATCGTAAATTACAGCGTGTAATGAGAATAAGGCATGTGAACCTAAATAATAGACGTGATTTATTTTGATTTGTTACATGCACACAAACATACATACATGTATGCATGTGTGCACGCTAGCGCGCATGCACACACACTAGTTTAATTAAATTTTAGTTTAAAATGGATGTATGTGGTAGCTTACCGTGGTACTCTAGGATCATGCCAGGTACTGACACCCGTTGCAACGTGTAGGAAATAAACCTGTCCTTGATTCGTAGTTCTTTGTTCTAGAAAATCCAAGCCAAGTAATCCAAATAATCACCTATCCAACAATGCAAATCCCTTTTAACTCTAATATGCTCACTAAACACACAAAAACACTCGTTGTGACCCCTGCACACTCGCTGTGACCCTGCACACTCGACGTGACCCCGCACACTCGCCGTGACCCCTGCACATTCGCCGTGACCCCCGCGCACTCGCCGTGACCCCCACACACACTCGCCGTGACCCCTACGCATTCGCCGTGACCCTGCACACTCGCCGTGACCCCGCAC